CTGATCCCAGGTGATCCGCCCACCTCCCAAAGTGCTAGGATTAAGAGCATGAACCACCGCCCCCGGCTGACAAATGATTCTTAAAGGGGAGTGGTTTAACACTACCAGGGACCCGAGTTTACCTAAACACAATCAAGTGTCTGGTTCTCTGCTTTCTATTTGATTGGAAAGGGCAGCTGGATAAGGAAAAAACACAGGCTAAGAAAAGGTTTGGTTCCAGAAGGCAAATTCTAATACTAAATACTTAAGTTTGTGTTACAAGCTATTATTTGTTGCACACTTGTGCTATCAGACCTGAGTACAGTTCCCATGGCTGGGCCAGGCTTTGCAGTGATGACTTGGTAATCAAATCTGTCAATCCCCTGAGTGCAATTACTGATGTCTCCATGTCTCTGAGCAGTGCCTGATGGGGAGGGGTCTAGGTGGCAGGACCAGGGTATTGGCTGAGGGGATGTTAGAATTGATCAGCCTTTAGCCTGTTAATGGGAACTGTGTTCTTTGCCTTGAGGGGTTGTTCATGAGGACCTCCGCCTGCTCTTGGAGACCTACCTGCCGTCCAAAAAGAAGAAAGTACTCTTGGGAGTTGGGGATCCCAAGATTGGTGCTGCAATACAGGAGGAGTTAGGGTACAACTGCCAGACTGGAGGCGTGATAGCTGAGATCCTGCGAGGTGAGACCATCATCTTTTATATTCCTGGTAACCTTGGTGTTTGGGAGGGAGGGGGGTTCTAGAAACTTGGATATTTGTTACTTCTGGGAAGGCCTTGAGCTTGGCTGGTTCCCATGGGTGCAGAAGCTAGCTCAGAGCCCTTTGTTGCTTATAGTCCTGCCCTCCTCTTAGGAGTTCGTCTGCACTTCCACAATCTGGTGAAGGGTCTGACCGATCTGTCAGCTTGTAAAGCACAGCTGGGCCTGGGACACAGCTATTCTCGCGCCAAAGTTAAGTTTAATGTGAACCGAGTGGACAATATGATCATCCAATCCATTAGCCTCCTGGACCAGCTGGATAAGGACATCAATACCTTCTCTATGCGTGTCAGGTAAAGTGCAGAGGCCACCCATAATATTGGAGCCTTTGGTCTGTAGTTTAGCTAATTTTTAGTCTTGATGAGAACTGACCATCCTGTGGGTGGAATCATGTGGGCTGGGGCTAGGTAAGCCTCCTGATGCTTACCACAGGCTGTGTTCTTTACACTGACTGTATAGAAAGAGGAGGTAGAGTAAACCTACTCCATATACACCTCAGCTCAGGCCCTGTGTCTGGTCTGTATTGTGAATGGGGGAACATAGAATTGAGGAAGATTTGAATCTTTTTCCCATTTCCTCCAGGCACAGAGTAGGTGTGAAGAGGGTGAGGCTGTAGCTTTGTGGTTTTTGATAAAGCAGCTGGGCCAGGGAATGACTGTGGTTCTTTTCAGGGAGTGGTATGGGTATCACTTTCCGGAGCTGGTGAAGATCATCAACGACAATGCCACATACTGCCGTCTTGCCCAGGTTATTGGAAACCGAAGGGAACTGAATGAGGAGAAGCTGGAGAAGCTGGAGGAGCTAACGATGGATGGGGCCAAGGCTAAGGCTATTCTGGATGCCTCACGGTCCTCCATGGGTCAGTGCAGAGCCTGGCAGCCTGCATAAGGTATGGGGCTCTGAATATCTGGCCCTCTGCATTCATACTTGGTTTTTCCTAGGCATGGACATATCTGCCATTGACTTGATAAACATCGAGAGCTTCTCCAGTCGTGTGGTGTCTTTATCTGAGTACCGCCAGAGCCTACACACTTACCTGCGCTCCAAGATGAGCCAAGTAGCCCCCAGCCTGTCAGCCCTAATTGGGGAAGCGGTGCGTCACAGGGGACACAAAAAAATGGGAGAATGACTGTTGCCATGTGCACCTGCACTGCTCTATTTTCTGACCCACTATATCTTCCCTAGTTGTGCTTGATGGGGAGGGGGCGAGTAGGGCTCTCTTGCAATGGGCAGGTCAGCAGTTCATTTCTCTGACTGCTTCCTTGACTCTCTCTCCAGGTGGGTGCACGTCTCATCGCACATGCTGGCAGCCTCACCAACCTGGCCAAGTATCCGGCATCCACAGTGCAGATCCTTGGGGCTGAAAAGGCCCTGTTCAGGTACCAGTGAGGGCACCTGCCCACATTCAGGTGCCACTTCTGGTGCCCACCTCTTGTTGGGAGATCACGGTGATGGCTGACCAGGGCTCCCTGACCTATACAGGCCTCTGCTATGGGGGTGATGGCCAGTCCTGGTGTCTGAGTGATTCCCAGGGCCCAGCAAAGGGACCAAGTCTCCAGGTCAGCGACACTGGATGCCTTCCCTCTGCCTCTGGGAGCTATGGGTTGGCATGCATTGGGGTAGAGATCCAATCTGGCCTGAGGCTCACTCAGGACTTGGGGGTGAGAGGAGGGGAGGAGCTGAGCTGCCTTGGCTAAGGGGGTTGAAATTTCTGATCTTAAACTCTCCACTGAATATTCTCTCAGAGCCCTGAAGACAAGGGGTAACACACCAAAATATGGACTCATTTTCCACTCCACCTTCATTGGCCGAGCAGCTGCCAAGAACAAGGGCCGCATCTCCCGATACCTGGCAAACAAATGCAGTATTGCCTCACGAATCGATTGCTTCTCTGGTATGGGTGGGGGGGTTTGGCAGTTGTGAGAGGGGCTGGCTGGTTGGGTGGGGAGGCTTGCAACCATAGCAGCTTCCACAATGATGGCAATATTTTTCGTCAACAGCAGTTCACCTAGTGAGTGTTGAGAGTCTGGGTCTGAGTGAAGCTGAGGGTAGAGGGAATACAGGGTGAGGGTAGTTTTTCTCTGGGCTGACAGGCTTTGTTACCCACACGCATGTCCAGAGGTGCCCACGAGTGTATTTGGGGAGAAACTTCGAGAACAAGTTGAAGAGCGACTGTCGTTCTATGAGACTGGAGAGATTCCACGAAAGAATCTGGATGTCATGAAGGAAGCAATGGTTGAGGTCAGTTGGGCTTTGCTGGGTGTGGGGAGGCATAGCTGGCTGTTGGAGTGGATGAACTGTCTGAGCCTGACCTTGTAGAGTGGAGGCAAAAAAAAAACTGATTTAATGAGCCTGATCCAATAAAGCCAGAAAGGAGTCCTCAGAGCACCAGAGGTCTTCAGGCCCTTTTAGCATTTCTATTTGACCAGGCAGAGGAAGCGGCTGCTGAGATTACTAGGAAGCTGGAGAAACAGGAGAAGAAACGCTTAAAGAAGGAAAAGAAACGGCTGGCTGCACTTGCCCTCGCATCTTCAGAAAACAGCAGTAGTACTCCAGAGGAGTGTGAGGTCAGTAGGCAGCTTGGCCCTTGCAAAGATCCTAGGTTGTAGGGTTTTCAACAGCAGGACAAAGGATGTGCTGCATCAAGCCATGGTCTTGAGTCCAGGCTTTTGGACTGAAACAAGGACCTGAAACATCTAAAACTACCTCTTGATTCTATAGGAAGGAGATAGGTGCTGAGAGAACTTGCTCAAGAGCCCAGAGAGCTGGTTGTAGCTCACACCCGTTCCCTGGGCATGTGTGTTCTGTCCTCGGCTGCCTCCCAGGAGTCCTCAACCTGGGGTAGTGTAAATTCCTGCTCTGCTTATTCTCAGACGTGTGTCCGGAGGTGGTAGTGTTCACAGTGGGGATGGGGGCAGGGCGGTCCCCAGTGTGCTAGGCTACAATCATTCTCCCTGGGATTTTCATTTAGCACCCAGTTTCTTAAACAGTGTTTCAGGGCCCTGTCTGGAACTTGGCATGATGGTTCTGTTGTGACCAGCATGGTGGGTTTTTCTTTAGGGTTTTTTTTTTTTTCTTTTTTTTTTAATGGGCTGAGGTGATTTACTACATGTTGTCCTTAACTTCTAATTTGGGATAGCCTTTGGGATGGATTTCTAAAGTTACACCCACACAATTAAAAAGTATCTCAGAAACACTGGGCAACGTTAACAACTACACAGGTTTCCCTGCCTTGGCCACTTAGTTGCTAAAAATGTAATGGGGGGTATGTGTGCACATTTCAATAGATGACACTGCTCTCACAGCCTGTTCCCCTGTCCTTCCCTTTAGGAGGCAAGTGAAAAACCCAAAAAGAAGAAGAAAAAACAAAAGCCCCAGGAGGTTCCTCAGGAGAATGGAATGGAAGACCCGTCTACTTCTTTCTCTAAACCCAAGAAAAAGAAATCTTTTTCCAAGGAGGAGTTGATGAGTAGTGATCCTGAAGAAACCACTGGCAGCCCCAGTCTTCCCAAGAGGAAGAAATCATCACCCAAGGAGGAAACAGTTAATGACCCAGAAGAGGCAGGCAACAGAAGTGTCTCCAAGAAAAAGAGGAAATTCTCCAAAGAGGAGCCAGTCAGCAGTGGACCTGAAGAGGCTACTAGCAGCAAGAGCAGCTCCAAGAAGAAGAAAAAGTTCCGTAAAGAAGCCCAGGAAGATTAGAATGCAAATGGACATTCTCTGGGAGGCAGGGCGTACCATAGCCCAAGGTGACATTCCCCACCCTGTGTCCTGTTCCCCAATAAAAACAAACTCACAAAAGTTGGTTCATGCTTTTTATTGAACACCTTAGATGGGTATGGACAGGGCCTATGAGTGGGGCAAGGCAGCAATGACAGCCTCAGTGAAGTCATGGCAAGTAGCATAGCCACCCATGTCAGAGGTTCGAACCTGTAGGGGAGAATCATCATCATCCATGTGGCCTGGGCTCCATCCCAACAAAATCCCCATCACCACCCAGCAGTCTGTTCCCTAAGGAAGCCAGCCCAAGGACAACCTAGGCCCTGCCCAGTAAGGTGACCATGGTACACTGCCTAGAGGCGCAAAGTCTCTTCTGGTCCACTGCACTGAAGTGTATGGGGAGTGTGGTCCTTGAAATAAAGGGCTCTAGCTCCCATGGGGGTGCAGGTGACCGATGACAGACTTGATGAAGTCGGTTGTGGTGCTGTAGCCGCCCATGTCTCGAGTCCGCACCTACAGCCACCACCGGCAAAAGCCGTGGGGAGGAAGAAAAGAGAGCCCATGAAGGGAGGTAGGGCAACATGACTGAGGAAATGGAATCCAAGAATGAGATGGAATCCAAGAAGGCATGACAGATAGCCAGAAAAAAGAGGCAGTGCAGCAGGATGGAAGGAGCCAGGCTGGGAAGCACATGGACCTGCCCACTCCTCTTAAGCCACTATTAACTGTGCTGCAGCCAGGGCAGGAAGGAGGCTGAGCAGGCAAAGATGACGGGAAATGCAGATCAGAGGTGGGATGTAGCTACCTTCCTTGGAAGAAAGAGACAGGACCAGGTGGGAGGACAAGACGAGGCAGGGGAAAGGAGATGGGATGTGAAGGTGAAGCTGGTGCCTCAGCCTGCCTGTATCCCTTGCTGTTCCACCCCCAGGAAAAGCTGCAAGTTCTGCATTCAGATGGCCCATGAAAAGGGCAGTGAATGGAGCAGGAAAGAGGGAACAGCAGATGGGATCTAAGAGGCAAAAGAGATAAAGAGGATGAAAACAGCCAAGAGAAGGGAGGTGAAGAGCAGCCCTGAGAGGGATGCGGGAATGTCAGGAAACAGATGTCCAGGGGACCTGGGGGAAAGGAGACCCCCATTCAGCTTCCCCAGGGAGTGGCGCCAAGGTGCTGACCCCAGAACTACTCTAAACCCTGAAGCCAGCACTACTCTTCTAAACTCACCTTGCCAACTTTGATCACCTTCTTCACCGCATCTGCAATCATGCTGGAGTGATACTCGAGACTGTGGATATGGACAGGAAGAAACTGAGACTTCTCCCAAAACACTTCCCCCAATTTCTCTACCTGGCTCCTCCTCACAACACTCATCCTCTGCCCGCAGCCTCCCGTGACCTACTTGAGATGCCGCAGCATGTTGGAAGCCGACAACAACATGGCCGTGGGATTGGCTATATTCCTGCCCACTGCCTGGGCAAATGGGTGCCGGGCACCCTGTGGAGAGAGGGGCAGGCTAGACACTAGGAGGAGGTAGGAGTGGTACGCAGAGGATCAGGTTGGAAAAAGACATTATGGGAGGGGGAGGTCAGGCCAGGATCACTGAAAAGAGGCATGGTGGGCAGTGTGGGGGAAGAACAGGCCAAGATCACTTAGGAAGGGGAGACATTGAAATGAGGGAGGAATGGCAGGCTTGGGGTCAGAGACAGGGGATGTAGCAAGGGCCGAGGGAGAAAGCAGCCTCACTCACCGTCTCAAAGACTGCATACTCTGCACTATAGCTCTCACCAGGGACCACGCCAGCTCCCCCAACAAGGCCAGCAGCCAAATTGTCAATAATGTTCCCATAGAGATTGGGCATCACAAGCACATCAAACTGGTAAGGATTCTGCACCAGCTAGAGGGTGAGAAGTAGGCATGAAGTGAATTCCACTCCACCCTCTTCCTCGGCCCTATGAGTGGAGATGTGGGGAGGGCCTCACCTGCATGCAGCAGTTGTCTATGATCATTGTTTCAAATTTGATTTTGGGGTACAGTTCAGCAACTTCCTCACAGCACTGCAGGAACAACCCATCCCCAAGTTTCCTGTCCATGGGCCAAAGGGGACAGAATCAGCCAAGAAAGTGCGGGGGCTACCTTCCCAGGAACCCACCCTACACAAAGCTATGTCCCTTACATGATGTTGGCCTTGTGGACAGCAGTGACCTTGCCCCGCCCCTTCTTGGTGGCATAGTCAAAGGCAAACTTTGCAATCCGCTGGGACTTGGCTCGTGTGACAATTTTCAAGCACTCAATCACACCCCTTGCACTCTGGGTAAGAAGAGAGCAGCAGCTAGGTGACACTGGGAAGGGAAACAAGGAGCTCCACCTCTCTCCCACCTTCATCCCTGCCCTCTCTCAGTTTCTGGGGCCTCACCTCATGTTCCAGAGAGCTGTACTCCCCTTCCGTCTGCTCCCTAATGATCACCAGGTCTAGATTGTTGTGCCGAGTCATATACCCAGGAAGTGACTTCACATGGACTACGTTGGCAAATAAGTCCAACTTACGCCTGTGGGTAGGCAGGGCCATCAGCTCTGCTCCTGCCTGGCGCCTCTGAAGCATTCGCCCTACCCCCACCACCTACCTCAGCCGCATATCATAGGAAGCTAGCTCCCCCTTATACTCCATTGGGGTATGGATCTTTCCTGTGTAAACAAAGTGGGGAAAGGAGTGTCAAGCAGAGGCCAAGCCAAAGGGAGCCCAGACCAGTGTCTAACCCCCTTAGGAACATAATGTAACCCAGACTCCCATCACCCACTCCCAAATCAGTAACTTTTAAATTGCCTCTGGGGACAAGGGGCAAAGGAGAATAATGTATAGTTAAAGCCAGAAACATTTCATCTATTGCTTTTTTTTTTTTTTTTTGAGACAGGGTCTCACTCTGACACCCAGGCTGGAGTGCAGTGGCACAATGTGGGCTCACTGCAACCTGTGCCTCCCGAGTTTAAGTAGTTCTCCTGCCTCAGCCTCCCCAGTAGGCTGGACTTACAGGCATGTGCCACCACACTGGCTAATTTTTTTTTATTTTTAGTAAAGATGGGGTTTCACCATATTGGCCAGGCTGGTCTCAAACTCCTGACCTCAAGTGATCCGCCTGCCTCAGACTTATCGCTTTATTTCTAGTCACCATATTTAATTTACATTGAAATTTCAAAACAGAGAACAGATTTTTTCTCTATTTATCAAAAAAGAACCTGGGTTTAATAACAAGTTGAGAGACAATGCTAGCAGATCTGTGACCTTTTTAGATGTTTCTGAGCTTTCTCCTTATTTGATATTTTTTAACCCAACACCTACTGAATATCAATTATATGTCAGGCAATAAGGATAGTAGCTAAAACCACATAACTCCTGCCCTCGAGAAACAAATGGTACACTGGGAAAGGCAGATAATATGAAAAACATTATAAATATCATGGGAAAGTTACATAGCAACACAGAGGAAATCCTCTCCAGTAATATCAGGATACAGCACAGAAGAGCTGCACTTCAGTCCACACCTTAGTTTAAGTGAGTACAATGGGCTGAACAGTGATCCCTGAAGTGACTGTCCATGTCCGGAGCCCTGGAACCAATATATGTGACTTATTTGGGAATAGAGGCTTTGCAGATGTAATTCAGTTAAGGATATTGAGACAAAATCATCCTGGATTAGGGTGAGCCCTAAATCCAGTGATAAATCTTTAAGGGGAAAAATAATACAGAGACAGAGAGGGGAAAGAAACAGAGATTGGACTGATGCATCTGCAAGTCAAAAAACAGCAGGAGCCACCAGAACAGGCAAGAAAGGATTCTCTCCTAAACCTTCAGAGGAAGCAGGGCCTTGCCAACACCTTAATTTCAGACTTATGGCCTCCAGCACTGTGAAAGAATACATTTCTGTTATGTTAAGCCACCAGGTTCATGGGAGTTTGTTATGGCAGCCATGGGAAACTAATACAGTGAATGAGTGAGAAGGACTCTGACAGGCAGCATCAAAGAAAGTAAGTTCTGGGTAGAAGGAACAGCATAAATCAGGTAGCACATATTTGGATCTAACACACACAATGTAGTGTGATCAAAGCACAGAACAAGAGTTCTGGAACCAAGGCAAAAAAAGTTAAGCACCAACTAGAGAGAACTGACTTTCCTATGGTAAGGCTGGGCCTGGAAAAGTCAGGCTGTTCTTTGCAAGAGAAGACAAAAAAATTAAATGAGGAGATTAAAGCAGGCAAGACAAAAGAAAAAGGGCAGCTAGGTGTGGTGGTTCACCTATAATCCCACCGAGGTGGGTGGATCACTGGAGGTCAGGGGTTTGAGACACGCCTGTCAAACACGGTAAAACCCTGTCTTTACAAAAACTAGCTGGGCATGGTGGTGCACACCTGTAGTCCCAGCTACTGGGGAGGCTGAGGCAGGAGAATCGCTTGAACCCAGGAAGCAGAAGTTGCAGTGAGCCGAGATCATACCACTGCATTCCAGCCTGGGCAACAGAGTGAGACTCTGTCTAAAAAAAAGAAAAAGAAAAAGAAAGAAAGGGAGGGGAAAGGGGAGGGGAGGGAAGAGGGGAGGGGAGGAGAAGAAAAGGAAAAGGGCAGCTAGAAGTGGTATTCCAGAAATGCAATGAACAAGTCAGATGACAGTCGATGTAGCCTCAGGACAGACTCAGAACCCCTGGAACTTTCCTGCACAGACAGCTGACATAATCTCTCAACTCCTGGGTTCCCAACAGGAAGGAACAAATTTCAAAATACCAGTGGTGGTTGCCCTGGAGAATACAATTGCATACCATGTGGGCAGAAGGGCTTAATAAACATTGGTCATTTGATTTTAAATGGCACATGGACAAGTGGCAAGAGTGCACACATACCAATAATGGCCACTTTGTTCTCCTTCATGGAACTCAGCACCTGTTCCAGCTTCTCCTCGGATGCCATATTCTGCACCTCACTCAGGTGGTGCTCCTGGAACTCCACCGGGACAGCGGCAGCCTTCAGAAACAGGGTCCCAAAACATCACAGTCAAGGCCAAGTCCTTTCCAACCCTCTATTGTCCTCTGATCCCCGAGGCTACTCACCTTGAACACCTCCTTGACGGCGTGCATCAGCTCAGGCCCTACACCGTCTCCCGGCAGCATGGTCACGGGAAAGGAGCCCTCCACCCTCACGTCCTCGGCCTGAATGGGGGAAGCGGGGAGAAGCAAAGACAGAGCTGGGACTGGAGCAGTGATCCTGAGAGTAGGGAAGTGGGGAAACCCGGGAGGGGTGGAGAAAAGCCAGGGGAGAAAGCAGCGAGAAAGGGACAGGGTCGTGAGCGACACCCCGGCCAGTTTCGTGCATACCTGACTCCGCGATGCAGCGTGCGCCGCGGCCGAGGCACTCAGACCTCTCCATGCCCCAGGGTTCCCGGCGGAGACCAGCGCCTGCAACAGGGACACACAAGCATGTAAGGGCGGATTTGAGACCTCCAGACCCCGAACACTACAGTGACTTTGCTCTGTTTAGGAACCCTAGGACAAACTCTCCTCTCCCTCGCCCGCCCCTGCCCGGTGTGTCCCCGCGCCTCACTCGGGTCAACCAACGGACACCGCTCAGTGCCGCCATGTTCTCCGCAGGAAGTCGCGTGAGAAGTAACGGCGGAAGCTGGCGCGGCCCCGTACCCCGACTTCCGCCCTGTGCCGGTTGCTTGGTGCTTGCCTCTCTGCACCAACCAGCACCTGCCTGCTTACGCATGTTTCTCCTCTTTCTTGCCGGTGGGGAGGATGCGCAAGCACTTTGTCTCTTGCTTTATTTTCAATCGCCATATTTAATCTACGAAAAATGTAGCGTCATATTTATCAAATGAGGACCTGAGCTTAACAAAAGATTGAGAGAAAATCCTAAGGAAGCTGTTAAAATTTTTGTGTCAGTGCGTTTGTTATTCTTTTAACCAGTATTCACTGAACGCCTGTATAGCAGGCTTTCGAGGAGCTCAGCACAGTCCGTGGGAGATGTCTGTCGGGTTTCTCCGCCAGTCTCCGAGTGCCCAATACCTCTGTATTGCCGGTTACCTCGTTGTTGTTGAGACTAGAGTCTAGCTCTGTTGCCCAGGCTGGAGTGCAGTGGTACGATCTCGGCTCACTGCAACCTCTGCCCCCCCCCCCGGGTTCAAGCAATTCCCCTGCCTCAGGCTCCCAAGTAGCTGGGATTACAGGTGTGCGCCACCACTCTGGGCTCATTTTTGTATTTTTTTAGTAGAGACGAGGTTTCGCCATATTGGACAGGCTGGTCTCAAGCTCCTGAGCTCATGATCTGCCCGCCTCCGCCTCCCAAAGTGCTGGGATTACAGGTGTGAGCTACGGTGCCCAGCCTCGCCTTGTTTTTTTCTTACAGGATCTTGTTCTTTGCTCTGGCAGTTGTTTCCCTAATTGTGTGTCCTGGACTTGAACTCCCCAGGACAGGCCCATAAAGGGTGCCACAAATGAGTTCAATCATGTAAGTGTGACTAAAGGGAATTTCAGACCGATCTTTAAAATAGCAATCATAAAAAATAAAAAGAACCTGGGCAACGCAGGGAGACACTGACCCTACAAAAAAATTAAAAATTAGCCAGGCATGGTGACGCACACCTGTAGTCCCAGCTACTTAGGAGGCTGAGGTGGGAGGATTACTTTGAGCCCAGGAGATGGAAGCTGTAGTGGGCCGTTATGGCACCACTGCACTCTAGCCTGGGAGACAGAGCGAGACCCCATCTTAAAAAAATTCCAGTCACGATTTTAGGTGTGTACAATTGACTCACCAAAAGACATACTGATACAGGAAGATTTGCCTGACCCACTCTTCTGGAAATGTTGTTTTTAGATCGTCTGTCCAGATGAACCAACAGCAACTTGTTAAAAATGCAGGCTTGTGAGTCATACCTCATTTGCTGAATCCAAATTTCAGTCATGGGGGCCCAGAAAATATTTCTCTAACAGGCTCCCCTTGTTAATACACACTGAAATTTAAGAACCACTAGCTAGGTTCTCTGTGATAAGTTCCTCCTTTTTATATACCTCATCCAGCCAAAAAGGTGGCAAGGCAAACGCATTCTCCCAGCCCAAGGCAGAGGATACAGTGGTTCTAATCTTGGGGACCAAAAGCATAGACTCTGTGCCTCCTCTGCAATCCATTAGGTGGGACATTTTCCTCTACAGTAGTAGAATGAGAAGATTGGCAGAGAGGTCCAAGATGGCTGATCACTAGCAGCTTGGGATTGCAGCTCCCACTGAAAGAGCAGAGAACGAGAGGATGCCACACTTTCAGATCAATTTTTGTTGCTCACGCACCAGGAGATTCCCAGCGGAGGAGCCACACGTGTTGCCAGCGCGACTCTTGAGGCCAGCGAGGCGGTTTTGCCGCTGTCTGGTGTGGCGGTTCTTGGTGCAGAGTCAGAAAAGCACCGTCAATCTTAAAGCCGCTGTTTTGGCCGGCGCAGTGGGTTGCTCAGATTCTAGCGCCCGGGAATCAACAAGTTGGACGTCCATTCAGAAACCCAACTATAAAGACGGTAATTATAAAGACCACAGATGGATAAATTTATAACGAAGGGAAGAAACCAGCCTAAAAAGGCTGAGAATACCCAAAATCAGAATGCCTCTCCCTCTACAGGGGATCACAGTTCCTCGTCAGCAACAGAACAAGACCTGATGGAGAAAGACTGTGTTCCATTAGCAGAAGCTGGCTTTAAAAAGTGGATGATAAGGCCGGGCGCGGTGGCTCAAGCCTGTAATCCCAGCACTTTGGGAGGCCGAGGCGGGTGGATTACGAGGTCAAGAGATCGAGACCATCCTGGTAAACATGGTGAAACCCCGTCTCTACTAAAAATACAAAAAATTAGCTGGGCATGGTGGTGCGTGCCTGTAATCCCAGCTACTCAGGAGGCTGAGGCAGGAGAATTGCCTGAACCCAGGAGGCGGAGGTTGCGGTGAGCCGAGATCGCGCCATTGCACTCCAGCCTGGGTAACAAGAGTGAAACTCCGTCTCGGAAAAAAAAAAAAAAAAAGTGGATGATAAGAAGCTTCTGGGAATTAAAAGAACTTGTTCTAACACAATGCAAAGAAACTAAGAACTTTGAAAAAAGGTTTGACGAAAAGTTAACAATAACACACAATTTAGAGAGGAATATAAGTGAATTAATGGACCTGAAAAATACAACACGAGAACTTCACGAACTATGCACAAGTTTTAACAGCTGAATTGATCAAGCAGAAGAAAAGATATCAGAGGTCGAAGACCAACTTCATGAAATAAAACAAAAAGACAAGATTAGAGAAAAAAGGATAAAAAAGAACGAGCAAAGTCTCCAAGAAATATGGGACTATGTGAAAAGACCTAATCTACGTTTGATAGGTGTACCTGAATGTGGCGAAGAGAATCAATCCAAGCTGGAAAATACGCTTCAGGATATTATTCAGGAAAACTTTCCCAACCTAGCAAGGCAGGACAATATTCAACTCCAGGAAATACAGAGAACACCACAAAAATATTCCTCAAGAAGACCAACCTCAAGGCACATAATTGCCAGATTCACCAGGGTTGAAATGAAAGAGAAAATACTGAGGGTAGCCAGAGAGAAAGGTCAGGTTACCCATAAAGGGAAGCCCATCAGACTCACAGCAGATCTCTCAGCAGAAACCCTACAAGACAGAAGAGAGTGGGGGCCAATATTCAACATCCTTAAAGAAAAGAACTTTCAACCCAGAATTTTACATCCAGCCAAACTAAGTTTCATAAGCGAAGGAAAAATAAAATCTTTTGTGAACAAGCAAGCACTCAGAGATTTCATCACCACCAGGCCTGCTTTACAAGAGCTTCTGAAACAACCACTACAAATAGAAAGGAACAACCAGTATCAGCCTTTCTAAAAAATACCAAAATATAAAGAACATCAACATAATTAAGAAATTACATCAACTAATGGGCAAAACAGCCAGCTAACATTAAATGACAGTATCAAACACACATATATTGTTATTAATTCTAAATTTAAATCGACTAAATCCCCCAATCCAAAGACACAGACAGGCAAAGAAAGCCAAGACCCATTGGTATGCTACATCCAGATCCATCTCACATGCAAGGATACACAAAGACTCAAAACAAAGGGATGGAGAAAAATTTACCAACCAAACGGAGAGCAAAAATAAATAAATAGAAAGCAGGAGTTGCAATTTTTGCTGATAAAATAGATTTCAAAGCAACAAAGATCAAAAGAAGCAAAGAAGGATATTACATAAAGATAAAAGGATCAATGTAACAAGAAGAGCTAAAGATCCTAAATATATATGCACCCAATACAGAAATACCCAGATATATAAGACTTATAAAGAGACTTGGACTCCCACACAATAATAGTGGGAGACTTCAACATCAATATTAGACAGATCAATGAGACAGAAAGTTAACATCGATATTCAGGACTTGAACTCAGATCCGGAACAAGTAGACTTAATTAATATTCATAGAACTCTCCACTTTAAATACACAAAATATACACTCTTATCAGTACTACATCACACGTATTTACAGGTTTAAATGAAATATTGGTTGGCTGCTTGTTAATTATTTTCTTCCCTCATTTTTTTTTTTATGTCTCTATTATTAAACACAATTACAGGCATACCCAGTTTTAGACTGCATTCTAGCCCGGGCAATAAAGCAACACCCCTGTTCTCTCTCCCTCTTCCTCTTCCTCTTTCTTCCTTTCCTTTATTCTTTTTTTTTTTTTATTCTTTTTCTTTCTCAAAAAAAATTTAAAAAAAATAGAATGAGAAGATTAAATTAGATAATGTGTAAGAGTTTTGAGCAAATGAAAAGTACTGTGTAAATATAGGGCTGTTATTACAGTTAATATAACATTAATATAACACATTCCTCTATTTCCATTCATATATCCCATGAAACCAATCAAATCCAGAGAGCACCACCAGCTTGCTCCCATAGACTCTGTGGTCCCAGCTTCCAAATCACTAGTACCATTCGCCACCATTTTTCTTCTCCAAATATTTCTCCTTCTGATTGAGAAAAAAATGGAAGATTTACAACCTCCGCCTCATGGGTTCCAGTGATTCTCCTGCCTCAGTCTCCTTGTTAGCTAGGATTACAGGCTTGTGCCACCACACCCGGCTAATTTTTGTATTTTTAGTTGAAACAGGGTTTCACCATGTTGGCCAGGTAAACTCCTGACCTCAGGTAATCCGCCTGCCAGTGCTGGGATTACAGTGTGAGTCACCAAGCCTGGCCAGATTAACTCTTTTTAAAAACTACATTTTCTGTTACTTCAGGAAATTTATGGTAAGAAAGAAGAGAGATGTACCATCTTAATCCAATCTCTGATGATAATATTTTCTAGACATGTGGTCTTGCTACATCGCCCAGGCTTGTCTTAATCATAATTTCCTTGAGGGTAACTACATCATTTCCATCCCTAAATTCTGCACAAACTTGGTCCCCACCTAAACTCAAAAAATATCTGCTAACTGATAAAACACTAAGCAGCCGGCTGGGCGCGGTGGCTCACGCCTGTAATCCCAGCACTTTGGGAGGCCGAGGCGGGTGGATCACGAGGTCAAGAGATTGAGACCATCCTGGTCAACATGGTGAAACCCCGTCTTTACTAAAAATACAAAAAATCAGCTGGGCATGGTGGCGT